TGCCGGCTGCTGACAACTCCCTCATACGACATAAGAAATGGTCATTCGGTTGCTCGACGACTATCCTCTCCCGAAGGGTCGGTCCCACAACTAAAGAGGCCAATACGCCCCGGGCTGTCGAAGTCGACTCCACTGCCTCCAGTTGTAATCGCTCGAACTCCCGAAGAAGAACATCCTGCCTGGTAAACAAGCAAGATAGTTGGCCATAACTCCTCCGACTAAGGGCATCGGCTACCACATTAGCCTTCCCAGGGTGATAGTTAATGGTGCAGTCGTAGTCCTTGACCAGCTCCAACCACCTACGCTGCCTCATGTTCAGCTCCTTCTGAGTGAAAATGTACTTTAGGCTCTTGTGGTCGGTAAAGATCTCACACTTGCCTCCATAGAGGTAGTGATGCCAAATCTTCAAGGCGTGGACAACTGCAGCTTAGTCGAGATCATGAGTGGGGTAATTCTGCTCGTGAGGCTTCAGCTGCCTCGAAGCATAGGCTACCACTTTCCCCTGCTGCATGAGAACACAATCCAGGCCCATCTTCGAAGCATCACTATAGATGGTGAACTCCAAAGTAGGGTCGGGTATGGATAGGACAGGCGCGTAGTGAGTCTCCTCTTCAACTCCTGGAAACTCTCCTCGCACTGAGGACTCCAAACAAACCTCACGGCCTTCTTCGTAAGGTTGGTTAGTGGCTGGGCTATCTTCGAGAAGCCCTCGATAAACCTCCTGTAGTATCCTGCTAACCCCAGGAAACTACGAACATCAGCGGCACTTCTTGGTGTATCCCACTTGCTCACTGCCTCAATCTTGCTGAGATCCACCTCAATGCCTCGTGCTGTCACAATATGGCCAAGGAATGCCACACGGTTCAGCCAGAACTCGCACTTCGAGAACTTAGCATACAACTTCTCACGACGAAGAGTCTCCAGCACAATCCTCAAATGCTCCTTGTGTTGATCGATATTTCGAGAATAGACCAGAATATCGTCGATGAACACAATGACGAACTGGTCCAAGAAAGAATGAAAGACCCTATTCATAAGGTTCATGAAAACGGCTGGGGCATTACTGAGTCCGAAAGGCATGACTACGAACTCATAGTGGCCATAGCGGGTACGGAAAGCAGTCTTGGAAATATCTGACTCCCGGATCTTCAGCTGATGATAGCCAGATCGTAAATCAATCTTTGAGAATACGCTGGCTCCTCTCAGCTGGTCGAAAAGGTCCTCAATACGGGGAACGGGGTATTTGTTCTTGACTGTAAGGGCATTCAACTCCCGATAGTCAATGCACATGCGCATAGATCCGTCTTTCTTTTTCACGAATAGGACGGACGTACCCCACGGCGAGACACTCGGACGAATAAAACCGAGCTTAAGCAACTCCTGGATCTGGGCCTTGAGCTCTCCTTCGGTGCCATACGATAAGGGGCCTTAGAAACGGGGCCGGCTCCTGGAATTAGGTCAATGGT